CTCATCGTCAAGCTGCCTGGCAGGAGATCCTCTTCATTAAAATGCGTTTTGCACTTTCGTCGCCCTTGCAGATGGACGGTGTCTTACTGATGTGTTGTTACAGGGTCCCTACGTCCCTATGCCGCCCCAGGGTCGGTTTAACGGTCTTTGAAAGGCTTGGTGTCCTGCTCCCATTAGCTTGCACCCGTCTCAGTGACAGAGGCTGTGATTAGACGTGACACCTCCCACCATGATGCTCCAGCAAGGCTAAAACGGCACCCTGGGAGCCCCCCGGGAAAGCAGTCATCGCATCAGAAGGGGGTTGGTGTGTGGCTCAGGGTGATGTTTAAGAGGACTGCTCACTGTGGATTTTTACCTTCCCAACACATGAGTATCTATGGGGGCAGTGTATGACTCAGTGCTTGTGATCAGAAGGGTGTCGGTTCAAATCCCAAGTTCGGCAGGGTGACTACACCGTTGGGCCCTTGAGCAAGGCCTTTAACTCCAGTTGCCACAGGGACTGGCTGACCTGCTTTATCCAAAAATATTTACATCGTTTTGGATAAAAGTGTCTGCAAAAAAAATAAGTAAGATGTACCAGTTGGACATTTCGTGGGCATCTGTCAGTCTCCTGTGGTTACAGGGTTTGTGAAGAAGCTCAGCTTCTCATCTTGAGAGATCTGCTGGGAGGGTCCTATGCTGGTCCATGCGCAGGAAGACACTGCATGATACACCCCGTCTGCGGTGCATCCGGGTCGCGGACCTGCAGATGAAAAGCAGAGGTGTGAGAACTCAAGGGCATCTTCCTTCCCTCCTTCCGCGGCGAGGGGAATCTTCTGGAATGTGGCCCTGTTCTGCTTAGTCAAACAAATAGTGAGGAAAACTACAGAGCCGTCAGTGAGCACCCAATCCCGTCCGTGGGTAATTTGGCTCATAAATCATAGAAAATGGCCTCTGTCAGCATAGCGTGCAACGGTTATGTGATGTAAATATTTAATCTGATAATATATACAGGTACACAGCAGAACATATGGACACTTTCCCAAACGGGCTTTCTGAGATAGTCTCCAGGTCCACCAATCAGGAGTCCCTGCCAAAAGATCAGTACTGCCATTGTGATGCAACGAAGGCTGCCGTGGCGACATGGGATGGCAATGGAGATACTCCTGGGGCATGTGATACATGCTGAAGCCGACATGATACAGATGCGGTGCGGAGCTACAGTCCCTGTACCAATCAGACACCCCCGGCCCAACCTTACCCGTTTACGGGACCCCCAGCTGATGCTGGACATGTGTGTCTCGGACCACTTTGTTGTCTCTCCATCATTAAAATCCTTCACCAGTCAGCAAATAAACAGCACCGGCACTTCACCGTGTAACAGGAGGGGAGAATCAGGAAGCGCCGCAGGTAATAAGGTCTGTCTGACGGGTAAATATTTGCAGGAAGTGGGCGAAAGAGCCAGCTGCATTAAACAATGCATTCTGGGAAAGTATCAGTGTGAAACTGGGCTGCTGGCAAAGCGAGAGGCGCAGCAAGAAATGGAAAAAATAAACATGGGATATTTTATGGGCGTGAGAACATGTGTGTGTGTGTGTGTGTGTGTGTGTGTGTGACTACACATCCCCGCTACCGTGTCACCCCCATGAAGCTCTCAGTAAACACCCTGGTGTAGTCGGCTGTATTGGACACAATGCCAGCATGTTTTTAGATATATATGTTTAAAGTTTTTCAAGTTTCCCTCCCGCTCTAAAGCAGGATCTTAATGGAAGAACCACTTATGTAACCAGTGAGGCAAACTAGACCGAAATGAAATTGCGAATGGCCTCCTTTCTCGAGAATGAATAACAAACGGTTTATTGGGCACTCAGCAAAGCCTTCCCGCCATTTCGCTGACGCTTAACAATAAATCCTCTGAAGGTACAGGCGCTCGCCGTTTGTGTGTGTGTATGTGTGTGTGTATGTGTGTGTGTAATGTGCCACAGAAGACCTCTGCTTGTTTACCTTTTAATTTAAAAAAGCATTTTAGCCACGGTGACATTCAGCAAACGGTGTCCGTTGTAGATGTCAGGGCCGGTGGCTCTTAAAACGTGGGCCCTGGACAATCAGCAAAGAGCTGCGGGGTCGGCTTCCCAGCGCGCTGATGGATTTTTAGGACGGCTGCTCTTTTAGGTGGGTGTCCCTGCTTACTCCCCAGAATCACTGCAGCAGCACGAAACTGGAGCTGAAGGATCAAGCCGCATCTGTTTTCGGAGTCTAACCTGTATCAAATCGTGTGATGGTGCACATAGCAGGAATGTAATAGCACTGAATTTAAAAGGGAAATCTGACGTTCTAAACTGAAAATGGAGAATGTGGTTACTTAAGGCCACTGTTTCCTGACCCAGTCCCACCGAAAGCTAGGAGAGAGCAAAAACGTGGCCCTGTCTGGGGGCCCCCGAGGGTTAGGGTTGGGACACACTGCTTTAGGGCATATGAATGGGGATCAAGGATGTCCTGAGGGCCTCCTGGGCTCCTTTCCAATCAAGCTGTCCATAATGTATAAAGAGCGAAAGATAAAGGAGTGCCATGTTTCGGGTGTGGTAGCGTGCGTTATCATTTTGACGGGTCTGTGCATCTGAGCTTCACCTAAAGGGATCAAGGATTTTTATTGCCCATTGTGCAAGTGTGTTATACAAGTGCAGTGAAATTTACTAGCAGCTTGCAGAACATGAATAACTTACACACACAGAAATTTCCTATGTACATATTTACACATATGACTCACCAATCAGAGTATATGGATATATAACACACTGCAAACGTCTTATGCTGTTTAAATGATCTTCATGTTGATATGTAAGTATGATAGTGAGTATCTCAAATGGTTTTAGCTTAGATAAAACCTCTCCTATAATCATTCCAATGTTTGCAGCAGCCATAGAGTACACCCAATGTATTTGTTCACTGAAGCGTTTGGCTAATCAAGCTATTTAACTAACCATGCTTAACTAACTCAGCTCTTCAAGCTATTTTACTAACTATGCTAAACTAACTCAACTCTTCAAGCTATTTAACTAACTATGGTTACCTAACTCAGATCATCAAGCTATTTAACTAATTAACATTAACTAACTAAGCTCATCAAGCTTTTTAACTAATTATGTGAATTGATTGAGCTGGTGGTGAAGTTTCTCAATTGCTTGGTACGGCTGGGGTCCTCATGAGGAGAGCTTTGGGGACGGAAGTAGTGTTCTTCTAGTCATCCAACTTTTTGGAGAACAGAAGAAATTCATGTTAGGTTTTAATGTGGTGCTGTTCATTTACACATGCCCTAATGTAATATATTTTTTTTTAGCAAATATGTACTTCCTACCTATATGAATAGCTTTAAACATCTTGTTTAACTACAGTAAGACTTTTGCACGGTACTGTCAATATGTTTGACTTGTTTGGGCAGGAACATTTGGTTTATATATGAGAGACAGTACTGCACTGTTGATGCACAGCGCAGTAATAGCAGAGCAGAAGTGAGTCAGTCCAGCAGCTTTCAGAGTTAATGGGTAGAGGGGTGGGGTGATGTGCAGTAGTGGGGGGGGGGGGGGGGGGATGATGGCACAAGGAGTCCAGCCTGGCATCAGCTCTGGGGTAAAAGCTGGTCCTGAGACTGACTGAGTAGTCATATATGCTCCTGCATCATTTACCTGATGACAAAAGATTGAATATGGCACATATCCTCAAAGTGGGTGACTTCGTTTTTATATGATCTATTCAAGTCCTTTCGAACAGAAGGATGTGCACTGCATTAAAAAAATCACATAAAAAAAATAACTCCCAGCACGACGGGCCCCAAAGATATGAATAGATAATGAACAAATAAGCACACAATAAATAAACGATGAGGAAGCGTGTTGTACAGTGCAGGTGGGGCAGGAGTCTGCTGAGTGTAGACGGAACTTTGGCATCATGAGATTCTCTGCCCTGCGTCCGATGTTATATCTTCATGCTTAGTCATGAATATATTTGCTTATTTATTTTGGTATTTTATTCATTAGTACTTAATTAAAGCCCAGCGATTCTCATCATACCCGCTTTATCTCGTTGATGAGACTGTGGATTTGCCCGGGACAGCTGGTGGGGGACTCAGCAGCCGTCCATGGGGGCAGGCGGGGGTGGTACGCCGCCCCCCCATCCACTGTTGGGTAATAGGATGTATTGGTATTAAAAGAGAGTCACGTCCTGCCTACACCCTGTTCTCAGACGTAGGGCAGAGATTGTGCCAGTTAACCTTTCCTCCCCAGGGCTGGCACCTGGTCCAAATGCCCCCGCCGACTAGTCTGGTCAAGTAGCCGCAGTCAGAGACACTCGCAAACACATCGTGCAGCATCCCATCACTTGGGGGGGGGGGGAAGTCTGCCCATGGTGCCTTGGGGCATCATGCCTCAGTGGCTCCCACAGACCCATCAGTCAGCCGGGGGTGGGGGTGGGGGGGGTGCCAGTAACCACTGCAGAATCAGCCTCAGCTCAACTGGCCGTGACATCTGGAAAAAGACAAAGAAGTGTGGTTTTACGCAAAAGGAGATCAGACAAAGAGACCGTAAGAATGCCGGAGTGCGTCACGGCGCTCAGCCGCGGCCCCACGCCTCGCCTTTAGCCTCTGAAACTTTCACACCCTTTCGGAGTGACGCGCAGATCTGGCCACCTGACGCATGGACAGCGTGCTCCCCTGCGGCCATCCTGCACTGTCATCCATGTGGAGGCCGCATGGCCTGGGTAACTCACTGCATTGATAACTCAGCAGTGAGATGTATGCAGTGATTAATACCCATTCTGGAATATTCTCCTGCTTTTAGCTCTTGCTCCTCAAATCAGCTGCCTACATGCAGTGAGTCTTGCATTAGTCAGTGTCTGTATTAGTGGATTAACTTTCTTCTCTTCTCTCCTCTCCTTTGTTCTCCCTGCTCCCCCTTTCCTTCTCCCTTTTGGACCTCTTTGGCTACTCCATCCTTGCTTCCTCCTGCTTCCCCTGGTCCCGGGTCCAGTGGCTGCTCCTCTGTCTCCAAACTCCTACTCTGGTTCTGCAACACCGGGCCGGTTCCAGTCTAGTGTTGCTTTGGGGCTCGCAAGTGAGTTCGAACCCCTTTCCTGCTTCCTCCATTGGGTTGGGTTCCTCCCCATTCTCGGCCTTTGAGTGCTGTGGGGTTGCGATGCAGGATTCCGTGGGCACAAGGCCAGCCCAACCCTTTTCAGTGCCCTAAGCAAAGTTTGATTAACCTAGTTGGCAAGTGTCATCTTCCATCCCATCCTGACTGGCTGATGAGATGAGGGGCCCCCTGGTGGCCGCTGGGCCATAAGCAGCTACTTAGATCTCCTATCCCTTGCTCCAGCCCTGTGTGTGAGCCTGTGTGTTGCTTCAGTGTAAAAGTGTCAATGTGTTTGACTGTGTTTGATGGCTTAGTATTTTGGGACAGACTGTTAATGAGTCTAGACTGATGTTAGTCTGTTCTAACATATACGTATCATTCTTTGTCATTGAAGTGTGCTGTCATCGGTTGAATCCCTGGAATTACTGTTTTGAGTACCATAGCAGGCATGAAGCTTGGGTGCTGATTTGTAAATGAAGTTCTAATCTGTCTCCTGCTTACAATATTTACTTATCCGCTGAGGTCACATTGTTGGGCATTTCATGTCCAGAAGCTACAAATCCAAACCAAGAATTTGTTTCTACCAACCAGCTGAGTCTCAGTGACTGTGACTGTTGCTGTTTATGCTCAACTGGTAGAAATAAAATCTTGGTCTGGATTTGAAGCTTCTAGACTTGAAATACCCAACACTGACAATACAGTGGAGGAAGAATGGATACCAAACATCTTCATGCTTCTCCAAGGCTTTAGGTACCTCCTGCACATGCAATGCTGCTTAAAAAGGACTGCATTATGCATTCTTAATTTTTATTATGATCTATAGTGTAATTGATGACAGTATTGACTGATCTCACCATTAGTGTGCTATTGTTTTCAGACATTAAAAACAAGAATTATCTTATTTTATCTGCACCAAATCTTCAAAATAATATTCATAATAGTTCATCTATTGTGTTGACTATGTATGAATTGCCTACCTCACTGGTCAAAGTAGAAAACTAAGTGGTTTTTAATGGCAAATTTACATACAAGCCCAACACTGCCGTCTGCTTGTCATTGCAGTGTAGCTAGTTTACAAGTGTGTGGCAGGAGTGAGGGGAGGGCTTATTGAGGGTGGATTATAAGAGGTTGGTGTACCAGGGGTAAGTTTACTGGGGATGGATTATGGTGGGTGTTGTTTACCAGTATATTATAATCATGTCAGAGAACTAATCACTGGTTCAAATCCTGTGGTTGGCAAAATGATGTCATTGTTGGGCCCTTGAGAAAGGCCTTTAAGCCCAATTGCTCCAAAACACTGGCTGTCTCTGCTTGGTCCACATTCAAGTGTTGCTTTATTGACAAATTAAGGTAATGCATATATTTTTCTTTTTGCATGACACTGGATACCGTATATTGGTGACAAGTGGTTTTAGGGGTTGGTGAATTGATGCCTTGATGAGTTGTTGGCGGCTGGGTTGAAGGATGGAAGGATTTATGGTTTCTGTGATGATGCTTTAACGGTTTGGTGAGGTGACAATTAGAATTTTCAGTGGTGGGAGTGTTTGAAAGCTGGATGGAGCTGATGAGGTGAAGGTTTGACATTTTGTGTGGTTCTCTGCAGTGATGGGACAGCTTGCTTGTAGGGCTATAGCTGCTAAACAGCATTTCCTATTTCTGGAGGCCTCTTTCAGCCCTCAGTGACAAATGGGACGAGCCAGGGCTCCACCAGACAGGAGTTCAAGGAGAGTCGGGCCCCAGCAACTTCACGCCGGACCATCCGTGGCACAGATGGCAGCGCCATTTACAGAGCTATAAGCATCATGGTTGTCATAGCTCTTTGAATGGTACTGCCGTACGTGCTGAAGTTCCACCCTCCACATGGATGCCTGCCTCTGCCTCCCAGCTCGAGTTGGGTTTCCAGGACGACGGTCTTCACGGGTCATAAGGGGTCATCACAGTGGCAACAGGGCTGCTGTGGAGTATAGCGGTTGTGGAGCTGGATGGGCACTTGTTTAAATCTTAGGAAGGGCAAATTCCTTTCTGTCCTAAAACAAGTGGTCTGCCTCAATAAACATGTGGATTGATGGGGTAGGATGGTGTGTCTGTGATCGGAAAGCAGTCATTGCCACGTCTGAGCCTCCTGATGGGCCGCACCTGATGCTTGTTGCCCCTTATTAGTCTATTTATAAAAGTACCTGTTAGTCCTGTCTTTGTTAGTCCAGTCGTTGCAGTTGAACCTTCTCGCTGCATGTGCCCTCTCGTATCCCGGTCCTCTCGTTTTGATCCCTTGTGACCTCGTTTATTTCCAGACTTTGTTCAGCCCGAGTTCAATAAAGCCCCTTTTTTGTTTCACCACAACTGCTGCCCTCAAGTCATTCATTCCCAGCATCACGTCAGTCAGTTCAAATCCCAGGGTCGGCAGAGCCATTACACTGTTAGGCCCTTGAATATGACTCTTAAATCCCAATTGGTACAGGGACTGGCTGACCCTGAAATGTATATTGCCTTGGATAAAAGCATCAGCTAAATAAAATGTAAATAACTAGTAAACATGAAGTGAGCAGGGCCCTTGGTCAGGCAGGACGTGGTTCAACTAGAGTCGTGTTCGTCTGTCATGGCCACAGGGTACAAATGCAGCAGTGGAAATGCAATAAAGCAACTCGACAAGTTTGTTTAAAGGGACTTGGTGGCTCATAAAGTCCAGCGCGGAATGCCGGCTCTATTATTAGCCAGGGCCGGCTGACCCCGGCCGGGTGCCGTGCGTTCGGGTCGCCCCGAGTGCGTCACCAAGTTACGTTCTCAGGCCCACAAATGTCCCATTTCTCTACTGCTTCATTGATCCCAAATGAGTCTGATTACCGACACCTGATGGTACTGAAGGTCAGACCCCCCCACCCCACCACCACTGCTACGTTACGTTAACGTTTATCTGCTATTTTTAGAAGGTGCACAAACAGCCACTCAGGAGAGGCTACTGTCCGTATTCCTACAGAGAATGATCCTCCATTAATGGTGACCACTCGAGGAAGGTGCTTATCCTGAATTAAACCTTAACTAAACATATTAGTGTAAAAATTAGTGAAAATTAACTCAATGTCAAACTGATACTCTGTAACAGGGGCGCCTGCAGGATTTTATCTCCTAGTACCTCCCCCCCCAAATACATACACCCACATCTACCTGCCTGTTACTGAATTACATTCTGCCTATTTGAAGTTCATTCTCTGCATTCCGGATCCATCAGATTCTTGTAGCACTTTTTTGCTGTTGATTCTGATTTCATCATGGTGAATGATTCTCAGAGGAAGGCCGGTGAGTCGGCTGTCCATGAAACTTGCCAAGCTGGCAGGGGACAATTAGGGGGAATGATGTCTCATCATTTTTTACTCTGTGGAAAATGACTGTTCGATCTATGGCAGAGTTTCGTGCACACACATTTACATGTATGTAACAGTTTTATTACTTTATAAATAATGTATAGGGTTTGCAAACTACTCCAATGCTTTCGATGTAGCTAATTTTAGGTTTATAATGGAATAATAAAGATTTCTTGCATGAACGTGAGAGTCTGAAAGCGTGAGGGTCACGCCAGATGCGTGAGAGTTGGCAGCCCTGCTCTAGGCCGTATTGTGACTGGGATCATTGTTCAGTTATGGGTATGGGGTGACTGGGATCTCAGTGGAACGTTATTATCAGTGCTTCTCACCCTATTCATGCTTTGGAGTCCAGTTCAAGGTGAATGTCATGAACTTCAAGTGTAATGCTGTCATGTAATGCTAACATTCACACCATCAGAAATAACAACAGAAATGAAATTAGACATGTTTGACATGTTTTAGACATGTGTGAGGGCTGCTCTCACATCACTACTCTCCAGCACCAGGTTAGTTGCAGAAGGACCCTTAACAAATTATTATTACCACAAACTAAGGTGCTACTTTATAGTGTGTCTTTGTGGGGGGGTGTACAGCCTCAGCTGCTGTGGACGTGTCCCTTTCTGCAAGTAGAGCAGGTGCTCATGTGTTATATTGATTTAGCATGAAGAGTCTTGTTGGGTTTGACGCTCTTTTGTAGGTCTGAGTGAATGTCTGCCCTTCGCGTAGCCTTGCAGCGCCTGAGGTCACCCTGAAGATAAGCAAAGCCTCTGTAGGTACCGTCGGGGTGGACAGCGGCACCACGGGCGCTGAAGCAGCTCCTTTCCAGATGTTTCCGCTCCACAGTGTGCGCTGCCTTTGATCATCTAACAGGGCATCCAGGCTTGTTTGTTTTCTTCTGCCGGGGCCTTTGTAAATACGGCGCGGCACATGTAACAAGTGACATCTTTCCTCCAGGTGCATTCTGGGTAGTCTCAGTCATTTCCTTACATTGCTCTCAGCTGTGTTGGAAGAACTCCATACTCTTAATCATCTTTTGCCAGACTCATTTGTCAGTTTTCATATTTTAAAAGACAGTATCTTCATTAAATTATGCAATTTGCTTGTTACATGATGTAGCTCTAATGAAATACGTTCTGCTTGTCAAAGAAAGTGTCAGAGAAAGTTGGTCTTTATTTTTCCATTGGGTATTCATGTCATTCTTGGTGAAATTCAGTGCATTAAGTGTTCTGTTTCAGATTCAACGTTCTTGATTTGTCAGTTGCATAGTTATACAAGTACAACATGCAGTGAAATGTATCCTGAACTGCTGTTTGGACCGTGCAACATTAGAATAATTTAAGAAGGAATAAGAAAGAATACAGTTACAAGGGATATGAAAAGAAAAAAAAAATTTAAATAGAACTTTGAATATAATACAGATTTGAAACAGATTTACGGATGTGCAATATGCAGTTATAAAGTTAAAGTGCATTGTGCTGTGGCAGCATAAGAGTGTAAACAGTAAGAAACCTGAGTGATGTATCTCCCAGAATGCATGGGGCAGGTGATGATGGGATTACTGCTCCCATTGCGTGGCATCCATGGAGGCCAGCCCTTGTTACTTTGGCCATGTGTTTCAGATTG